GCACTGAAGGGTCATCTGCAAAGGAGGGGTTTTCATCTTTTGTTTGTGTTGTTGCTTCTGCCGCTGCTGCCGCAGGTGCTGCATGTGCTTTTGGTGTTGGTAATTTGAGTCCTTCTTCCTGGGCGGAGCCGTCATCAGAGCTGGACTGCCCTTTCGCTGGTGTTGCATTTAAAGTTCCGGCTGGGTTTCCATTCAGTGTCGTTGTTAATGGTTCTGATGGTGGTGGTACTCCTTCCTGCGGCAATGTTAATTGGGATGTTTCTTCGCCTTCAATTGAGCTTTTGGGTTCCTCAATTCCTTCGGTTCCTTCTTTCCCTCTCACTGTGCTTGCTGGTGATGCCATGATCACACCATTATCCTGGCTGATGCCATTTCCTGTTTGTGCACCCAAAGACTGATTGCCGTTTTCGGGACCTTCCTTGACTGAATCCTGCGTTACATGTTGTTCAGCACTAACAATACCAGCAACAAGCTCTGAACTGCCAAATATTTCATCTTTTATCATTTCGGTACCTTTATCGGCATTGGCCTCCGCCATCACACAGCCACGCACCGCACCGTCCCATCCAGAAATGAGAGTCACGCACCACAACAACAACAATGAAAGGAGTGCTGATCGACCGCCCCCTTCCCCACACCCTCACAGTCAATATTACCGTCAGCATTACTCCCTCTTTAGAAAAACTCACCGGCATGCCGCGCTCACCTGCAGCACGCGTAGCCCGTCATCCTCTTCCGCTGCGTCCGCCACCTCCTCCCGCAGTCCAACAGCTCCGTGTCATCCACTTCTTCCACAGCCTACGGCATGCCACCGCCACGCAATACTCACACACGTGCTCCATGCGCTGCATGTTGTTCTCCTTCTTGTATTTGTGGCGGCACCGCAAAGTCTTGCAGCCGGCGGCATCGTAGTGCTGGAAGAATTACGGCGCAGCAACCGTGCGGGTGTCCGTGTGGCTGTACTCGCGCTTCAACTCGTCCAGCACGAACGGGCTGGCGGCAGCTATTCCAGCGGGTTCATTTTCTTCTTCCCCCGTAAAACCGCGGACGCCTCACGGGGCCCTCCAACGGCGTCACGCCATGTCCCATGAGGTCATGCGCACCGCCCTCTCATGTTCCCCCTTCGCAGCCGCAGAAGAACGCAGCACCCACATGCAATTGCCGGCAAGTTAGGACCATCCACGTAAAATAAAACGTTATACGTGTCGTGCGAGGGTGGTTGTATGTCTACAGAGACGTAAAGGCAAAAAAAAGAGAAAAAAGAAGGCAGCCATGCCAAGAGGCAAATACGCACATAAGTACCGCAGAGGTCACAGAAAAAATAATCATTTCAATATATATATATATGGCACAACTCAAGCCGGCACGGCAGCCCAAGCAGCGAACAAATAAGAGAACAATTACGGAAGAAAAGAAAAACTACGCACTCAACGCAGTTTTCACGCAGATCGTTAAATGTAAAAAATTGGATAATAATAATAATAATAATGGCAAGTATCATTATTACTTTTATGATTATTATTTTACAAAAATGAAAATCAAAAAAATATAAAATTTTACAAACCCGCCAACAACAGCAATAAAATATGTAAAAAACATCAGCATGTAAATATACACTGCACCGCCGGAGACAGCAACAACGCCGTTTTGATATCAGTAAGGAGCCGCAAAGCCCCAGCAGAAGTAACAGCACCCAAGACACACTCTCATGCACAAGGCTCACCTCTTCACTTTCCTTCCTCCGACGCACTCGCAGAATAAGAGCTGCCATCATCGTATTTTTGGCCTGCCTCGCCGACCATGAGCCATCTCATATGCTTGGAATTGAGTCCTCGGTTATACAAACGGGCGTTGAAGAGTGACAAATGGCTGGATTCTGCAACTTCCCCACTCTCCCCGTGGAATTGGATGTGTGAAATAATGTTTGTTTGGAGAAGAGACCCCTTGTAGGTGCCAAGGTGAGCCGCCCTCGTGTTAATGTACAAACCCCAATGGCCCGTGTCGTGTCGCAGCACCACCTGACACGGTTTTCCTGGGTCCCACCCTGTTGGAAGTACTTGTCTACCGCCACTATGAATTACAGTCATCCACCTCCCATCATGGGTGTAAACACACCAAATAGCACAGTCCTGTCCCCGTCATCCATCACCACACGAATCAAAGGAATGGGGGTGCGTTTCTTCGGCTCATCGTGGATGACCGCCATCACGACTAGAGTGAACCTTTTGTGTACAAAATGGTACGGTTGATTCTGTCCACTTCGGGCAACAGGCCACCCCGCCCCTGCTCCGGGTCCTTCAAACGTCACCCCATTGGAGAACCCTCTCACCGTCCCATGAACAGTCGCGTTCACGCAGAGGTACTCGTCCATCCACTCACTCCCAGCTGACAGACCAGACAAATAGCCAACAAGCCCGTCAGTAAGAATGGGACGAACACACATGCCCCTTTTCACCGGGCCGACAGTGGCAGTGGGTCTGCACGTTCTTAAGGCCTCATCCAACCCTTGCCACCTCTTCACCACAGTCTTTATCCGCTCCAGCTGTGTAGCCACGTGCACAGCAACAAGACCGCATGACCCCTCACTCCTATTCTCGTACAGCGAAATCAGACCACCCCCACTGCTATACAACAGGGAACTGGCAGCAGCGTCATCAGCTGCATCGGATATCGGCCCGGCATCATGCACACGTGCACCTTCCCTCACCCAAAGATGAAGCCGACCCCTACCTTTTTCTCCTCCAAATAC